TCTTTATGGAGGTTAATCGTCAATGGGGTCATATGCCTCGTCACATTTATTCACACATGACAAATGAGGTAAAGTACAGTAATGACGTAGATTGCAGATCTATTAGATGAGAGCTCAAATCTTTCTAAGGGTATTTTTTAGCCTCAAACAATTAAATTGCTCAATAAATACATCAAAATGAATATAGAAATTGAACAAATATAAAAAAATATAGAGATCAATTTAAACCCTGAGCAAACTATGAAATGATGTTCTCGGTCGAGCCTCGATTCCACAACACGTGCTATGTGTGTGTGTCGTGGATGGGCGAGATTGGACGGATCACACTCGAAATTCAGCATCAACCACTGATCCCCAATCTACAACTACAATATGTTGTCTCAGAGATATAAAATTTGGTAGTGGCGATGACCAGGTTTCGAATTGCAAGCGTGCCAAGCGCGCCTGTCAGACATACGTCCGGCAATGGGAGAAATTCTAACCTGACGGATTCGGCGCACGAGTTACTTAAATGTGGTGGCGGCAACGATATTTCCGCTTGCCCATCCGAAGAATGCGTCAGTAGGAGGCTAAGGGCGACTGCCCGAAGAACCGCTGTGTCCAGTCGATGTTGCTGTGTCTACCCGTGCCCTTCTCAGCGCCAAGATGGAATCAGCCCAGGTGTCGAATGAAGTGATGCTGTGCAATGCGTTCGAAGAACTGTAAATTGGCATAGATAATTTCGACGAGTTCGACACTAATTCAATTCATAGTTGATTGAACTTTGAATATTTTCTGGACAGTATATATTCGATTTGAGAGGTACGTTTTTCGAAAGAGCATGCAATTGATGTCGAAACTCGTCGTGTATCAAGTGAGAAGGTATTTCTGCGCTTCAGAGCATCAACGTAGAAATTGCCCATCGCCTGTAGCAGTTGGTATGATTTTCTATGGAATATTAAAGATTGAACTGCTTCAACCTTGGTCCTAGATAGACGTAAGATCACTGGGATATCGTCTCATAGAAGTAATTTATGGCTGCAGGTTTTAAAACCTCAAACTTGTTGGCACGACGTCATCGTTTTTCCATACCAGATGAACTGGCTCTCCCAATTAAACTCGGAAGGAGGTAGTAGTATTTTACTCCCGGCATTTTGGATTGAGGTCCCGGTCAGTCCCAGTAATGTGCGATTGTTATCCTTTGTCGTGGACCGTGTCGCTGACCGTATCGTAGTGTCGAGAACAGTGAGTTTGTTTACCTGGCGAGTGAAGTCACCTTTGAATTTGTTATGATAGCCAGCGCATGACAATAAAGAATTTATTAGCCAACTTCTTGACAAGCTAGAACTTTGGACCATGGACCTTCCCGTTGGGGGAGGTGGATAAGACGTGGATGTGTTGCTCGATTGCAGCCCACGTAGGGACTCACCCAGCGAAAGCTCGAGATCAAACCGATATGATAGTGATATTGACCGGCACGTGAGGTGCTGACCGAACTGCCAGCCGTGGAGCGAGGAACCGCCCGCCAATGCGGCGGCTGTTCTGCTCTCCGCAAGGCTGACGCCTGCCAATGCCAGCCGACGAGGCGTGGACGCTTGATGGACCATCAGGGACCGCACCTCTTGTGTTTGGCAGTCCTACCGGCAGTAACCCGGGAGCGGCCCCTGACGATATGGACATGGGCCAGGACGGTCATTTCTATACGCCTCTTATCTCCCGAAAAATCCAACTTTCAAACGGTCCACAAAAGACGAGCGGCATGAGTTTATGTTGGTGTGCGAGCAGTACATCATCCTAACGCAAGCCCTAACTGCGACTGGCGTGAAACCATTTTTTATGCCGGCAAGCGCGTTTGTTATGCCCGGGACCAAACAACGTAGTGCCCAAGTGGACATGGGGAAGGACCCCAAGGCTGTTACTGAGACGTGGTGGGTGGTCTGGTTCATAGAAGCCTACAACGTCGACAACCCAGCTGACGCGGTGAAACCGAGTCGCTTCATCGTACCATGACAGATCAGATTGCTTTGAGGAGGAACAAATCCTTGAAGAAGGTTGTTTACCGGTTTGTAGGTTGGTTGCGTAAGTATGCCGTTGGGCATGAACGTTTGTCGGTAACGAGGACGACGAGAAGTCGCCAGTGAAGCCAGAGCCGGCTAATGATGCCCGCCGGGTGTGTGAATCCAACACCTCAGAACCAAGGGCAACGATCAGTGAAGGCTCCGGCGACGTCACGGGTTCCTGAGGCATCAGCAGCGAGGCATCCTACTCGACTGGAGCTGACCTGTCGGTGGCATCTTGTAACCTGTTCTCTACTCTACTGCAGGTGAGGTAAGCCCCGAGATCATCAACATGGAGTCGACGATACTTCAACCTTATGGTACCTGGAGCGTGTCTGTCACGGAGCCGCGACACAACTCCTGGAGTAGTTGGAGTTGAATACCGCGTGTGGGCCTCTTGCTCTGCTTGACCTCCAAGTGTGGGTTGACGACGCTGAAACGGACACGGATCTCACGCTTGGTGTCCCTGTTATCCAAAACTCGGTGTTGCGTACGTCAAGATGGATTACCCGTGACCCTAGCTGCCACTCGTTACGCCCGGTCGGTGCCACCTTGGCGACCGGGTCCGACTGCGGTGGGTGGCTCCGAGCGGCTTTGTGCGTCGGTGAGAACACGAAGAAGCCATAGGCAGAAAGGCCGTGTTCTGCATGAAGAACCGATGGAAAATGACTAGCCCAAGGAGCTGATTGGACGTTTGCCGAGGGGGTTTATAGTGGGTATTACTATAGGCTGGTCTAGCCAGTTGGCTACTCCAGCCAGTTCTTGCATTTGCTTCCGAGTGCTCAATATACACCACAAGCTTTGCCCGGGAGTCCATTGCTTCCCCATCACTGTGTTCATTGTTCGGTGTACCTGAGTGCCAAAGGAGACGCCATATTCGGCATCGAGAAGGCGTTACTGGAGAACGCATGCCGGCAGCAGGTGATGTAGGATCTTGCCGACCAGCCTGCTACAACACCGGGAGTCGCAGTGAATCGGACGCTTCGATTGACGGAAGAGCTGACCGATGACTTGGACGAAAAAGAGCGCATGTGTTCTGCGGCAACGGAGCTCGAAACAGCTTCAAGCGACGATAACAGCGAAGTGCCCGTATCGTTCGGATATATAAGGTGGCAGATGCTGATGTCTAGGGCACGGACATTGCAGCCGTCGAAGTACTGCAGGACTTGTTGCTCGGGTTCCCTAGATGTGTTACGTCTGGAATTTGGCAGGGACTCACAGGTGAAAGCTGCTCCCTTGAAGGTGCAAATGAAACCGGAAGTGGCCCAGGTGAAGTGGGGACTACGTGGTTACCCTCCCACGTATGTGGCGTTCTTGGACAGCCATGCCCTGGAACTGGAAGAGGCTGGTCTGGTGTACCGTAACCACTGATCCCGATGGGCAGCTGTTTCTAGAATCGTTCCTAAAAAGGATCCGGGAGACTTACGTATGACGATTGACTCGCGACCGATCAACGCGTGCATCGAGGGTATGCCGTGGTCTATGCCGAACCTTGAAGTGACAATGAGTGTGCTTCAAGGCTCAAAGGTGTATTTTACACTCGATTGGATAAAGGGTTACTGGTAACAGCCTCTACACCCTGACTCCCAGGAGCATTACTCCCTTTTAACTTCGATCGGAGTGGTCACCCCTACGCGAGTGCTTATGGGACAGTCTGATGCGGTAGCTTACTGTCAAGGCGCGGTTGACGCGCTCTTTGGGGGCTGCTTTTGCATCTCCTTTGAAATTGGCTTGATGATTTTTTGGGATATGCCTGAACACCAGGAGACAAGTTGGTGCTTCTGCTCAAGGTATTGAACATTTGCCGGTCGTACGGTCTCAAGGTGCACCTCGGCAAGTGTTCGTACTACACGATAAATACGATCTGGTGTCGGAAAGTGATATCCGCTGTGGGCATGCTGCAAGCTCTTATCCATGTTCAAGGTTGTGTGTGTTGGCACCACCACAGACGGGAGCAGACCTGCAACAGCTTCGGTATTAGACAATTGATGCAGGCGAACATCCCCCAGCATGCTGAACTAGTGACCCCGCTGACGAAGTTGATGGTCAACCCTGCCTAGTAAGCCGACTCACGCAATAAGACTGAGTTGACACGAGATGCATAGAGCTCAGTCGTGTGGGCCGATGACCAACGGGTCTGTTATGAGTGTATCACGTTAGTCCGGCAACGTAAGGTCCCGTTGTCTCGCCCGGGTCCTGACAAAAAGGTATGTCTGAATGCCGATGATAATGAGGGGCACCCTCTGCATGCAAACACGTATCTGTGAGGTGGTTCATGCAGGCGTGGCTGGCCTCCGGGGTGTCGAAGGAAGGATGGCATCAGTCGCTGACATGCTGGATTGGACGCTTTGAGGACTGATGCCAAAACCCTTGTCGTCGTCGGATCTAGTTCTCCACTACCACCGTATGGTACCCTGCATCCTGGTTTACATTGCATGGTGGTCGACGGAGAAAAGCCTCCCCGTTCCTGGGGCGAAGCTTTGCATGCGACGAAGCCCAACGAGCTTATTTTTTTCGACTGACTGCGTCAGGAGACGGGTTGAAATATGTCCTTGTGGTCAAGGATGACACGAGCGAGTTTGTCCGTTTGCAAACCGCCATGCCTGCCACCGCCGCGGAGACAGCTGCTGCGCTGACGGAGTCGTGTCTGTTTGATGTTGTGACGACGTGGGTATCTATCTGACTGTGAGTCGCATTTCAAAATCGAAAACATTGACAAATTTTCCGGCTACACTTTATTCAGTGCGCACTATTATTTTATTACTTCACATTGTCCGTGGGCGAACGAGACTGTTGACGTTGTCAATCGAGTCACTGTCCGGACCCCTAAGACAATTTGATGTGATATGCGCTTCGAGCCGGGAGCCTGGCCCTCAATTCTACCGCTAGGTCAATCTGCTTTGATCCAGAAGCCGTCTGACCGTCTGGCGGGAACTTGATGAATCGTTCAACCATTTTTCTTCGTGCTTTCGTCGCAAAGCAAACAATTGTTGTCTCCAAGAGAAACAACGCATTAAGAGGTTAATCCGTGCATAAATGTGCAACAACGTCGAGCGCGCCACAATTGGAGGTGCCAGACACTTCGATGGGTCAGGTTCTCAAATTAGCGAATCAGAGAGCTCCAATTGCCCAATTGCAGCGGTATATTTGACCAATCATTGACTAGGACTTGACTGATCGAATCAAAGGTCACTTAGTTCCTAGATGTACCGTGTAGTGTATATTATTATGGACAGTCACCAAACCATTATCCGACCGAACAGATTTTCGGATAATGTATTTTATTGTGGGCATACAAACTTCAACCTCATTCTATTTCGCATGGAACTGCCTTGAAGCATTGAGTATTGACTGTTATCAATTTCTAAAGGAATCAACGTTCAAAGGAAGAATTGCCAAAATATTATATACAAGTTGCAAGTCAATTTTCCTATTACAATTCAATATGTTCAGACTCCTCGGTTGCTTCACACTGGTCAATGTCTCTCGCAGGATGAATGGTTTCATCGATAGCCATGCTCGTCATCAAATCACCAAGTACGTCATCGTCCACTTCACCGTCTTGCTCAGCCACGTCTTCAACAGGGCCAACCGCTAGCTGCTCGTCTTGGTGCGGAAGGTCAGGTCGTGCCGTTTCTTGAAACCCTTGATCCAGTGCCAGCCGGCCTTGAACTCGTCTTCGGAAAGCCCAACGTCTATGGCGGCCTCCAAGGCCATCATGCGCAGCATGGCATAGGTCACAGGGATGCCGTCTTTCCGCATTCCAAGGACCCAACGCGCAAGCTGCTCTTCGACATCAAAGGGCAACGTCGTCCCGGTGCCTCGTGCACGAACAGTCATGTACTTGCCCGTGGTGGCACACTTGGCTATGCGTTCAATGCGATCTTTAGCTCTGATCCACATGTACACTTTCTTCCGCGTGCTTTCACGCTCTGTCAACGAACTTCTAGCACAGTATGCATCCAGAAAGGCAGTCATGCCAATAGATGACACTCGATTGATAACGTCCAACCTATGCTTGTAGTCCACAGTCTTGTTCTTGAACTGACGCGGCATTGCTTTCCGTCCATGCTTGAACACGGGCCTGCCAAGTGATACCCGTCGAGCACTTGGCTCAACCGTGTCAGCCTCCATGGCAAGGGCGGTGTGCCTTCAAAACTGGCGGGTCATTTAAAGCGCGGGGAAAACCTCTCCAAATTAATTGTACCTCTATACATTAATATTCTATACAGAGATAGAGGTATTATGGAATATAAGAGGTATATTCAGGCGGGAAGGTTGTATTGCAGAGTTTGATAAATTCTTGTGCACTATAAATATTAATTCGAAGAGTGTCCACAATAAAAAGGATGTCTCGAATAATATACGCTACACGGTA